CAAACGCTCTCTATTTTATCCAAAGGGTGAATTTGTGTGTTTCTTATGGTTATTGTTCCCAGAATAAAAAATTATTTTCCAAAAGATCATTAGCTGATTATTCTTTGTAATGGAGAAACAGTATTTTTTCTCTGGTTAATTAACTTGATGTTTAAATATTATTTAGATAAATTTCAGGCTTCAAAATATTAATAACATCAATAAATTTGTAAATTCTTAATATGCATTACTAATTTTTTACTTGACAGATTGAAATATATGCTTTATCCTTCCAAAAATGTAGAAATTTTTTTGCATAACAGCTTCCTCTGCAGTATAATAGCTATAGACGGGATGGTATATAGGTCTATTGATTTAAAACAGGGGTGGGCAGAAGCCGGGTTGCCGTCCCATTCGGCCCGGAAACACTTTATCATATTCCAGATGATGTATGGTTATTCGAACTAGTGTAGTCTATATGTTTTGTATGCACACTTTCATTTTAAATGTCACTTAATTAGTAGTAAAGCTAAAATAATATTGGGAAATGAAAACATATCATTATGTTTCAGTTCAGATGAATTTTAAGTTTTTAAAGCCATAGTGAATATGGACTCACAATTTCTCTTTTTATACATGGGTGGTTTTATTTTCCTTACTATTAATTGTAATACAAGAGGGATCTGGAAATATACCTTCATAAGCGAACACATATGAATGTACGTGTATGAAACCGAATGCTAGATCCTTGACAGAATAGACTCTGACAGTAAGTTGACAAATTCGGTTTAAGTATGCGTGTTTACTTATGTAGACTAGATGTTACATAAGGTTGTTTATTCGTAGCAGTTGGATGAGGTGATGTAGAAATGTTTATTCTGAGATTTGACTGTACCACAAGCACAAGGTATAGAGGTGATTCAGAAACAAATTCATTTTTCGTGTTTCTCTGCTCTGTGCCTGAGAGTATTGTATAGCTCTATGTTCCCAAATAAGTGTCGCTTTTAATGACTATATTAATATTTATCATTCGAATACGTTTGTTCACATTAGTCACTTTAATGATATTGACATGAGAATCCAGTCTTCAAAACCCCCCTCAAAATTTCACCAGCCGTTTTGACAATGGGGTCCAGCTTTTGTGACTCTAGGCAATGCAACGCTGAGGATGGTCTTGTATGGCCGAAATGCGTTACGTCCAAGTCATTTAAATCACTAATTGGTAGGGAAGCAGTTGGATAACAAACATGAATATAATACTGTAATAGTGGTTTTAACGACTACTGAAAACACAACATTATTTAGGGTTTTCGGTAACTGGACCTGTTTCCGTCCTCAGGCGAGGGCCCGGAAATACACGCTTTGTTGGGTTCGTTAGAAGAGTTAACCTGTCACTGGACCCAGTATCTGAAGCACAAAAGAACATAAATTTTCTAAAAAACTGACCTGTTTCTGCCCTCATGTGGGGTTTGGAAACACCTACTGTGTTGTGTCTATTAGAAAGAGCTAACTTCAGTCACTGGAGTGGACGATGGACAAAGTTAAAAACTCAGTAATCATGAGTGTTATGCACCGCCGTCAGAAACCCTTAGAATTTACTGGTTTTAAATTTAGTCTATTTATGAACAGCATAAGTATTATGGTGGGTTCGCTCATTTTTGTTTTACTACGTCGGAAAAGGTAACTCATGGAAAAAATATGCAAAATGCGTATTTTAATTATCTCTACTATATTTGCTCGAATTTCTTTATCACAAATAAATATTTAACGAGTGACGCTCAAAAGGAATTTAGGTCTTTGTGTAAAGTTCCCTTCAATTTGTTTCAATTTTAATAAAATTTGCGATTTTGTCGACAAATTTTAATTAATTAAGATTTGAGGTTTTCACGGCGGTGACTATGAAGAAAGAAGTCCCGTGGGATGTGGCGACGTGTAGATATTGTGTTAATCGACATTTCGGAGGAACGTATCGCCTCCATCTTCAGGGTAGAAGAAAGTAGAAGAAACTCCGCGACCGAGGAATCAGCATAAGTAGGTGCTATTCTATACCTGCTCTGGCCTGCTACCTGCTGGCCCACCTCCCCAGACCCTTCCCCTCTCCTCTATACTGATTTCCCATATAGCCCCCGTCTCTTCTCTTCCCCCTCTTATACACGTATAGCTGGGTTTATTCGACTCGTCATTAGTGTGTTAGCACCTACTCACGCTGGCTCCTCGCTCTCAGATTTTCTTCTACCCTGAAGATGGAGGCGTTACGTTCTTCCGAAACGTCGGTCAACACAATATCTACACGGCACCAAATCCCAGAAGACTGTCTTCATCAAATTTAATTAAATTTCTACATATAATATCTTATGAAAATACGTATGTATTTACAGACTGATACAATGACAAAGACATTCCGTGGCTGTCGGGGCTTCCCACTCTCTCTAATCTTGTTTCCTATTCCTGTCCTCTGGCTATGTCAACCAGCCGAAAGCGCATGTCCGGCACTGAGGCCACGGAAAGAAGTCGCATGGGTGGAGGGGATGGCTGCGCTCGAGATATAACCCCCCTCTATGCCTACTGTTGCCGTTCCCCCCGTACCCTCTGATCTGTGCCAATCATTTCAAAGTGCCATCAGTGCTAACATTCAAGTGAACAGAATGGCTAGACAATCGGAGGGGAATATAAATGCAGGATGCTGGAGGGGGAAGAGTAAGGACTCGAGATATACAGGGGTCGATCCAAGGGACTTGTTTCTCAGGCCTCAATATAGTTACCGACATGCCGTGTCAAGTGGTATCCAACGCGTCTGTTTACTATAATAATTCTGAAGGAAGGCGTGTGCATTCATCGGTGTGCCCCAAAACTCAGAATATGTGGTCAGATTCATTCCTGAATTAGTCTAAGGGATAAAAGTTGTCCCTGCACTAAATTCTGTAATTAATCACTATGCCGTGAAAGTATATGGGAGAGTACAGGTATATTTTGTTTCCTTGGCACTACAGCCCCAGTGGGCCTACGCCTACCTCCATAAACTTCTCCGTTCACTTCGGTTTTTCTAGATCTTACACATTCGGTAGGACTCCTTGGGCGAGTGATCAGCTCGTCGCAAGGCCTCTACCTGTAGACACACACAGAAAAACGCACACAAACATCCATGCCCTGAGTGGGATTCGAACCCACGATCCCGGCTTCCGAGCGAGCGAAGACAGTGCATGCCTTAGACCGCTAGGCTACCGTGACCGGCGGAGTAGAGGTATAGCTAATCCATTTTTGATCTCGGCACTAGATGGAGTTGAGTGGTCACCTCCACGCTTCTGCCTCTTTTTCTCTAGGATAGGGCATTCGGTACTCCTTAGCTAGGAGGCTGGGTGGGTCCTAGAGCCAGTCTGGGCTCTATGGAGAAAAATCTAAATTTCAGCTTTCTAGCTTTAATTTTTCAATGACGTCATCAAAGAGATAAAGACTTTTTTGGTTGGTGGCTAAATTTGTATTTCCCATTCCGGAAGAAAGTTAATATAATAAATGTTACGTTTTTCGAAGCTCTGTTAGCATACATAATTTCAGAATCTAAATTGAGTGACCTTACGCTCGTTCCTACTCACCATGGTTATCAAAAACCTCTTTTTTTGACCCTAAGAAATAAATGTAGGCCAAAATGTGGTTGTGTAACGGGCTTCTTAAGTAGCCATACACACTACAACGTTCTGTTTCGCATAGGGAACGATTTTTTATACAACAATAAAATGAAAGAGGACTCATTATGTGCCTTTAAAAAAAACTAGGTAATTTGTCTGTTCTCTACTTAGTTTAGCAGGAAGCAGAGTTCACTGAATGACGGAAATACGATACCTGTGTGACGAATACGCAATATAAACTTTTGTATTTTCACTATTTTTCTTCGCCTAAAGACGAAACATCATGCTAGCTTCCATATAAATACCTTAATACTTTTTGCTAAGGAAATCCATGTGCGTTTGAAAAATTTAGTTTGTTTTGAATTTGCTCTAAATTCGAAGGCTATCTCACTCTGGGCGTGTCTGAGGGCAAGAAACGCCAGGTTTAATATCAATACAGTAAACCCTAGCTAATCGGAAGTAACTGGAGGGAGAGGTTATCTGGACTAAGCACTAATCCGGATTAGTGAAACAAAAGGTAGCCCTAAAAGATGAAATATTTAGAACACAAATAAATAGAGAATTTAGTGCTGAAAAGAAATAAAAAAATCACTGTAGAGCCTATACTTAAAAACTAGAAAAATACAATGCATTTATACATCGACAGAACTTTCAGGAGTTATATTTTTTTTAACTTAATAATGCAGGTTTGAAGAAACTCCGAAATTTTGCCTGAGACAAGTGACTCAACAGCCCTCCTAAATATCATTAACAATCATCATTAATTGTTAACAATTAACAAATATAAACAACGACAAATATTTTTCATTTTTCACATTTCGAAATGGATTATGTGACATCCAGATTAACTGCAACCGCATTAACGAGGGTTTACTTTATAATTATTGGGATAATGCAAGGCACAGGTGGATTACTATCAGATAAAATAATCAGAAACTCCGCCATCGCCATCATAAATGCCAAAACTCACAGTCTACATTAATTAATAAGGCAAATGAAATGGAAATTACATATTTATTTATTATTATCTAGTAGTTTGGTTAATGATGCTGTCAGCTACCAGATTATATCTTCGAATGATAAGATTGATGAACAAGAAAGTGTAAAGAGTATACAAGAAAGTTGTCCTACCTAATTCTAAGTTACATCCCTGAATTTGATGGAGGGACTGAGGAAACTGCAGAAAACCTCAATCATATTAACTAGTCTCGGGGCAAAAATTTGAAAGTGGGACGTCCCGACTTAGAAGCAGGAAAGCTACCACTCGACGGTTAGGTTCGTTTAAGAAGTATTGGGACATCACCCATTTCTTTAGTTCTTGTCGCCGTAGGATTAAAGTAAGTGAAACAGGCGTCACGCAGGAAACGTAAATTTGTTTCATTTCCTTATAGGCTAATATTAATAATAAAGTTATATATATTATATAAGTCAATTAGGAATTAAAAGGATAAAATTCTAAATATTGGGGCCGGTACTGAAAGTAATTTGTTCTTGAATGAAAGAACATCTGCATGAAAGGGTTTAAGGTATGTCATTTATATACTCCAATCTCCACATAATTATTTCAGACTTTTGTACAGTACGACTTATTTTAAGGAGAACGCTCACACTCTTAGTCTCCTTAACTACATTCTGTACTCTTATCAAGTGTAATGCTTTGCTCACATACACGTTCCAACATTTGTCAACGTTTAACTTACATTCCCTCTTGATGGAGCCGCTGCGGTGATAAACAGAGGAACTAAGACGTAATGTTGACTGTTTCTCAGAGATGTGTTGTACTGTACCGGATCTACAATATACAGATGCGACAAAATATTACGACAGTTACCGTAGAAAATCTCGTAAAAGGTGGACATTGCAAGGAACAAAAGATAACTCCATTCTGTTCACATCACACACATCACCAATGTCTGTCTTTCTGCACCAACTCGAAATAAAATATACGGTTGGTGGGCAGCATCGTCCCTTTCGATGACAACACATCCTTGTCTTCAGTTGAGGTTGTCGTTGCCGTCGTGCCCGTAGAAAACAGGATCTGCACGAGCAGGAGAACTTGTTATTAGTTTACATCAGCTGTGATTCATCACTGAGGAAATTCATATTAATACACATCAAATACGGCCTATTACAGTAGAACTTGGTGTTAGCATGCATGAACTATGATCCATCACAGAAGAAGTCAGCATTAGTACATATTATCAGAGAATAAATTTGCATTAGCATAAATAAACTAAAGTTAATCACAGAATAATCTAAAATTATTGAATATTAGTTATGGTTCATTAAAGAAACACCTGCTATCAGCCATATCAATTATCGCTCAACACAGAAGAACTTTGTATTACTGCATATCAACTGTGGTTCATTACAGAAGAATCTGCTATCAACGATCATCAATTGTGATTCATAACAGAAAACATGGTGTCAATGCACATCGAATACTGTCCGTCACGGACGAATCTGGTATTGGTGTACATTGACCATGATCAGTCGTATAAGAACTACGCATTAATACCTATCAACTATGGTTCATCACAGAAGAACTTGGTATTAATTCGCGTCAATTGTGGCTCATCATAGAAGAACTTTGTATTTGTGCGTATCACCTATGGTACATCACAGAAGAACTTTGTATTTGTGCGTATCAACTATGGTACATCACAGAAGAACTTTGTATTTGTGCGTATCAACTATGGTACATCACAGAAGAACTTTGTATTTGTGCGTATCAACTATGGTACATCACAGAAGAACTTTGTATTTGTGCGTATCAACTATGGTACATCACAGAAGAACTTTGTATTTGTGCGTATCAACTATGGTACATCACAGAAGAACTTTGTATTTGTGCGTATCAACTATGGTACATCACAGAAGAACTTTGTATTTGTGCGTATCAACTATGGTACATCACAGAAGAACTTTGTATTTGTGCGTATCAACTATGGTACATCACAGAAGAACTTTGTATTTGTGCGTATCAACTATGGTACATCACAGAAGAACTTTGTATTTGTGCGTATCAACTATGGTACATCACAGAAGAACTTTGTATTTGTGCGTATCAACTATGGTACATCACAGAAGAACTTTGTATTTGTGCGTATCAACTATGGTACATCACAGAAGAACTTTGTATTTGTGCGTATCAACTATGGTACATCACAGAAGAACTTTGTATTTGTGCGTATCAACTATGGTACATCACAGAAGAACTTTGTATTTGTGCGTATCAACTATGGTACATCACAGAAGAACTTTGTATTTGTGCGTATCAACTATGGTACATCACAGAAGANGTATCCCTGTGATTTAAAACTTTAAAACTTTAAATTTTGAATTTTAAATTTTAAAATTAAAATTTTAGTCTGAAAATCTAAAATCAAATTTACGAGCGTATGTTGGCGAGATTTTAAACAAAACTGACAGGTTGGCGTTTTAGATTTTGGATTGTGTGCAGTGTGACAGCTACGTAGTAAAAAATACACCTGATGATGGCCAGTTACAGCTGAAATATGTAGTGTAGAGGAAGAAAAGACAAAAAGCTACAATAAAATAAATTGTTGCATTCAAGACGGCATTTGTATTATTATATATAGAAATAGTAGTACATCTATACTCCTACATGTGGGGTAGTTGCATTCGCAGGGAAAAAACCGGCATAGCACAGAGACGTGTAAATCAAAGTTCCTTCCGCAATCATTGCGATGTTAAGCGGATATTCTTAAATAAGGCAAAACTCCTTGGTGACAGTGTTCTCTTGTGGACGAGTTCACATACCCTTTGAATAGTATATTAAAATCTTACTGTCCTTGCATCTGCACTCATTAAAGAAATCGAGAAACGCTGAAAGGAGATCTATGTCAGAATTTTACTAAAATTTATAGACCCATTCCAAATTAGGCTAAGTTGAGAATAAATAATGAGCATTGCATGGTGGATTGTATGCATCTTTACGCGAACCTTGAGCGTAACTCATTAAATATTACAACGAAACTTTTAAGACTCAATGTTCTCACAGCGATAATTATGAAGAGTTCTATCTTCTGTTACATAAAGTCGTGTACAAACGACACATAGATTTTCACCGGATTATACGGTGTTTTGCCACAGGAAATAGAATTCTTCTTTCGAGCGTCTCTGTACTAAAATATGAAACACAAATTTTTATTCGATATAATTTTTCGGTAATTCATTTTTTGAGATAATTAAACAAGAGAGACTGAAAGCTTTAGAGTTGTTACTTTATTTGTACATTTCGTAACTTGAATATTTAAGAATAAAAAGTGGTCTTCCTATCACAGTGGTACCAACCTACTAGATCATCCTCCTTCATAATTTTATATATGTGATTTTTTTCTCTGGGGGTATCTGATATCACAAGTTTTCAAAGCTCCAGCACCCCACACCCCACATAATTCGGGAGTTGAAACACTGAATTCGGGAAGAATTCGGCTGGGAGGATAAACGAATTCCCGTAGAGATGCTGCAAAATGTAATGAGTGACTTTAGGAAGAGACTTACCGAGTCCCTACAGCGGAATGGTGGTCATCTGTCGGATGTTATTTTTGGGAAATATACTTCTGTTCGCAGGGAGTTAATTGAGAAAATCCAAACGCTTTCATGTTTACACTGTATTCATATGTGTTAAAAGGAAATAAATGCAATAGTTTACTATTCATAACATTTTTAAAATCGCCCGAATCATTGACACATCCTGTACTCAAACACTTCTTTAGTAGTTACTTGAATATATTTTCAGAATTTTCATCTGTGCATATGTGACATAACTCACAAATGAAAAGTAAATACATAATATAGTTAAAATTATTATAGCATGAAGAAAGGGATGAAAGGAGCATGGGTAAAACATTTGATAACACAAAATTATAGATGTAGAAGATGAAGAGAAATAGAGCAAAGAAGATTCTGATGAAAGAAAACTTAGGTTGGCACAGGCTTGAAATTTCATAATTTATGATTGCGAGGAGAGTAAAGAGGTCAAAAATTTGGCAACAATAATTTATGAACTGAAGGCTGCCTTTTTCTGGGATGTGGGCTCAGCCACGTGCTCACGCTTGTTCCTAGCTCGCGGATTTTTCCACCCTGAAGATAGAGGCGATACGTTCCTCCGAAACGTCGATTCACACAAGATCTATATGGCGCCACATCTCAGAAGACGACATTCTTCATAATCACCGCCGTGAGAACCTCAAATATTACAACTTATGAACTGTCTATAGAATCGAACTGGATCTTATAATGCTTATATATTGGAAGATATAATCATCTATAGCCTATTTACAACACCAGTCCTGCATATACTTATATAAACCTTAGAAGGTCTATGTTTTAGAAGAAAGGAAATTATTTTCAATCATCAGTAAGAGATAATCTTATAATTCAATATTACACACACGTAAATTCTGTGATAAACGGTGTTGAAGATACATTTTCATGACACTGTAATACTCATCATAAATTCTAATATTCTGGTTGCCCTGCTGAAAAGAATGAAACTCCTAAGAAGCTTTCCTTCCACTTTTACGTCAGGGTGTGAAAATTACAGCTTTGCTCTCAAGCACTCATTTAAACTACGCGAGAAACAATATGTGCTACTCCTGTATGAGAACAAACAAGCTGATTATAATGGATTGGTGTATTCTGGGTGTTAGCATGCTGTCATGAAGCAAAAAGGATGTAATTAGCACTCGTTGGTCTGGCTACCGAGTCAGTCGCGCCTATATGACGTCATACACTGCTTTACCAAATGCAAATATGTGACTGACGCTTGGAAAACAGTTTGCAACTCTTTCAAACACAAACACATCCATCCAGGGTCGACCAATATGCTTCCCGATATGGACGGAGCACACACTTGTTATAGTCATTTTATGTCTGTCATAAACGTTTCGTTCATAAAGGTCGTTAAGATATGAATGAGAAACAAACGCCTTCGATTTACCATGTACTTCACTCATGTTTGTTTGTCTGTACCCATGACAGTAGGTGTGATAACTTCTGGTGTCAAATGTCTTGCTATTACTGGTAGTGCAGTTGATTGTATGAAGTTGAATTCTTCTAGATTTCGGTAATGGGCAAAGTGACGGCTTTTATTTATTATTTACCCTGAGGGGCATAAGATGAATATTTAATGTGGAAGAAGTGCCAGTTCTTCCTTCTTCCTGGATAATTAATTTGAGAAATTACTCAACGGATGTAGATGAAATTTGGTATTGGTGCCTACATCAAATCTGACGGCTAATTATTTTTAGTTTTTATTGGTATAATGTAAATCATATTTCACACGAAGACCAAACCGAACTATAGGATTGTAAATACTTTCAGAAGTGGCTAATAGTGAAACCAATTGAGATTAATTAAGGATGGGTCGATATAGCTCAATATAGTAACTGACTACGGGCTGACCGACCTGACATCGATTACAGGATATACGAGGATTTTTCTCTAAGCCACCACATCCAGACCGGGTTCGGAGGTTTCCAAAACTGTCTATACAATTTGCACAACGGAGCACAAGAGACTAATTTCCCCGAGTTGAAATACTCGGAGCGTGAAGCTAACTCAGTATTTCCATCTAGTACAACTACGACACTGCTAAACCCCGAGATTCAAAATTACTTAATTAATATATTGTGACAGATTTGGACTTTCCTAAGTAACTGACCGGTAAACACATATCATACCAACGAATGCGCAACATTGTTAGGCAATGCATGGGTGGATACACCTGACAATACAGTGATGCCGCACTGGTTACAATAAGGAGTAGTAATTCAATTCAGTTCAATTCTTTATTATTTACGTGCCGAGTCAACAGCCGCAAGGCCAATTACAGACAGAGCACAGTGCAGATGAAAGTAATTACATTATAGACAAAATTAAAAAAGTCAAACACAATAATAATAATAATAATAATAATAATAATATGAAGAAGAAGAAGAAGAAGAGGAAAACGACTTGCATATAAGTGGAAAATACATACTAAATAAATAATGGGGGATGGAGATTGGGAAAACGGATTACTATGGAAAATAAAGACAGCAAACACCAAAAAAACAATAGTGTCAAGAAAAAGAAAATTCCATACTACAAGCAGCTTAAACAACTTTGTACGTAACAGAATATGGATCTCATTATAATCTATTTATTCATTTGATGGAGTTTTCTATTTGTTGAACAGTTAATAAAATAAGTGGGAATTTTTTGTTTTGTACTGTGATAACCGCTGCGCAGTTGTTGTTGTTTTAAGTTATATGGTCACACAGGAAACATTCAGAATTAACAACAGCGAAAAGAAATTTGCAAAAAAAAATTTTGCGCATCCCTTTTTGGATTAGGTTTACTAGTTTCTGCTCAGAATTGAAGGCGGCTGGACTTACCCAGACTGTTGAGCCCGTAGTGGGCCTGGTACACTGTAGAGCCGTTTGAGGACATGGTGGACGTGATGGGCAGCCCCGAATTGAGGCTCGAAGTGAGCGCCGATCCCTGATTCAGCTGACCGATAGACTGGCCGAAACCTCCCATTGTGACGCTGCCTTGACTCAGCTGGCCCAGACCTCGGGGAATATATCGGAAATAACAAGGTCAGAGAATACATCACGAGGTGACATAGTACTAATAAATACGTACAATAATAAGAAAATAAATGTTTATATTTATTTAAAATATATCAGAGCAATCCCTAGCCAACTGCGGAGGTTATATCCTGCAATAAATACTCCCATTATCAAGACAAAAGCCAAATTAAGAAATATTATTGCTTAAGTATGTACACCATTTTAGGCGGAAAATCTGAGAGGAAGATATCGTTTGGGGGACCTAGTGTTTGATGGGAACATAATATTAAAATCAGTTTTAAAGAAATAAAGTGAAAGCTTGTGGAATAGATTCATTCGTTCTCTCCAGCATCTGTGGATCTCTTTGTGAGAAAGTCACCAAACTTTTCATTGTGCACACTAACAAATACGGCGGATACAGAAAAAGTTGTACGGTTGACAGAGAAAGGTAAACATGGAAAACTACGAGTACTTCAAATCAGTGACTGGTAAAACCGCGATAAGCGAGAGATTGCTCCATAAGGCTGGCTAATAAAATCTCTGGAAATGTAACAAAGTAAAAACGCTTGGGAAAGAAAGTAATAAATCCAAATGGCATTCGTGATCCAATGAAGTCTTCTCGGGAAATCAGCTGTGTCAAGATGGAGAGAATTTCCACTGCTGAATGCTCTAGAATAATTTATTGAGTTGATGTTCTCATGTCCGTGAAAATTCAAGTTACGGACTTCTGGGATGTGAAGTCTTGTAATTTTATAGATACGTACCAACGTTTCAATGAATCTTCTGCCTCCATCTTCAGGACCGAAGACTATGTTATGAAGATAAAGGCATCAGGTCCTTTGGAAGAATTTGTATCTGTCCACTTTACTACATGAAGTCACACTCCTGGAGCTTTGGTTGACGTAACTTTTTCATGATTCAGATTAGCCTCCTATGTATAACTTGGTGTCACGAATCATATCACACCTACACGTCTTTCGACAAAATTATGTCTGCATTTCTCAGCTCTGTCATGAGCTCTATATATCCTGTCCATCCCATTCCCATATTTAACAACAATAATATAATATATTGTCAGTTATGACTTAATTATGACCTAATGTCGTCACCGAGCCATCAGTTGCCGCCTCTTATTTGGGAGCTGCCAGTCCTAAATCTCGGAGACTGAGGTCTTTCCAGTAAAATACTGGGACTGTATCTAAAATTAGGCCTCGACTACTTCTCTTCACATCCTCCCATGCATTATTCAGTTACCATCTTATCATTCGGCGTTATGTAGTCTGAGCTATTGGCAGTGTCGTTAAATAAGCCACAAATAAATGAAAAGTATGAAGCTCTTCACTGGACAATTTTCTCCTTCCTTCTGATTTCTATTTCTGTACTACATCATCATATTTTGATATTTGTGGGCGTGAAATTTGGTTTCTCGGAGTAACCGAAGGACTCAGTTGGAGGAAATTTAAGAGTGAACATGTGAGGGAATTCTTTCCTAAACATGTCAGTTCATCAATAAATATAAAAAATATTCTATTTCCAGATTCTTCATTCTATGATTTAAAAATTTTAAGTTTATAACGTTTGTCTTCTCGTCTGCTGTTCATAACTGACATGTCCTGCTCCTATGCGTAACTACTTTCTAACATATATGGCAATAATTAACTAGCGGCAGCCTATTCTATTTAAGAATCGTCCTAAAATTCTAAGCAATGGAGTCTGGTAATCATCAACGTCGTTAAATAAACCACAAATAAATAAGATTAAGAATAATAATAAGAGATACTTGAACCGCTACTCTTCCTAATACTAGAATGAATGTTAAGATTCATCAATTGCAGCAAGTTTAATGCGAGAATACAAAAATATTGCTATTACCCGTTTCGGCCACTACTAGCCATCTTCAGAAGACGCTGCCAGCTCTGCAAATAAATATTTATTTTACGTATACAGTACCATAGGTCTTCAAAAAGGGATTTCTGACATTAAAAATTGAGACTAGACTGTTTTAACAAATATAATTTATTCTAACCATATCAATATTTTATTAGAAGCTGACCGGGAATAGAGCAGTAGGTATAGTGACTGGCTACAGACTGGACGACCGAGGGGTTCGAGTTCGAGACCCAGAAGGATCAAGGATTTTCTCTTATCTATGTTGTCCAGACTGGCTGTGGGGCCCTTCCAGCTTCTTATTCAATGGGTACCGGAGACTTTTTCCCCGGAGGTAAAGAGGCTGGGGTGCCAAGCTGACCACTCACCTCCGAAGTGCCGAAGTCAAGAGAAAGTGGATCTATTCATCTACCCCTCATACATCTTCATGGCATAGTCCTTAATTAGTTAAGCACAGGGACAACTTTACCTTTTACATCAATATGTCGGTTCATTCTTTATTAAAAGTTGTACAAATCGCTTTATGAGAGCCTATGTTCACCATACATGTAAAGTACTTCCTCATACTGTTGGTTAGACGTTCTGATGATGGACAGCAGTGGCCGAAACATGTAAAGGCAATCTTTTATATACTTCGATATCGCTGTTTCTCGTGACGGACCTTAGTAGTCATTCGTACAAAATCACAAAATACTTTTGCCTATGTCTACAAATTACTTGAGTGCAGTGTATTCAAGTGGTGCATTATGTGACTTGGCATGCAGTTGATATGATGGAGTTATCTACCCAACTGGATCGGAGAGTCGAACAGACCTGGAGTCATGCCGCCAACACCCCAGCGACTGTCAGCTCCACCGAACATTCCAGAGGAACAGAGTCCTTCGGACATGCTGCCGAAGGGAGGTAATCCGTGGGACGGTAAGAGGGCCCCGGGGGTCCTGAACACGTTTGTAGTCTTCTTCCTCTTCTTCCACTTGGCTCTGCGATTTTGGAACCAAACCTGCGAATTAACCATTTACTGTTCGTTTCATTTGCTTCTAGTTTGAAGGATATTAATTTACATCAATACTTCCAATGCTACAAAAGAGAAATATCGTCCTTAAGATCGGTTCTCATTCATTTTATAAGCTTGGAGTAGATGATACGGCGAGAGTAAAATTGTTCTGTGATCTCTTCATAATTTAAGCTAACCATTTTCATGATCCCCTGAATAAATTCATAAGATTCCCTATGAACGCAGAAAACGAGTTTAGAAATGTAAGCAGAGTGTAGAAATTCTACTATATTGCATTATCTTGATGGGAACAATATTCGAATTAAAAATAATGCTAGTATTTATAGGAGCACATTTTCATACATCTTGAAAGATATATTTATATACATAGGACTCTACACATACATAGATGAAATTATTTCGGATCATCAGTGTGGGTTTCGACGTAACAGATCAACTACAGATCAGATAGTACGATGAGACAGTACATCAGCTATTCATAGACTTCAAGAAAGTCTACGATTCAGTTAGGCTGCTTTACACCCGAAGAAATTTTCCCCTGTATCCATTGATAAGGTAGCTACAGTCGGTATAGCGACTGACTACGAGCTGGCCGGAGGAGGGTTTCGAGTTCGGGTCCCGGTAAGAACATGATTGTTATTCTCTCAAAGTCGTCCATACCGGTTTCGAGGCTCAACCACCCTCCTACACAATGGTTACCGGAGGTAAACGGCCGTGGCTTGAAGTTGCCCATTCACCTCCAACTAATGTAGAGATGAAGAATACGTGGATCTATTTATACATTCCCCCATACATCTTCATGGCGCAGTGCTTAACTAGTTAAGCAAGGGAACATATACGACGTTAATCTTGGAATTATTAAAGATAAAAGAAATTTAAGAGAGGGCAGTATTATGAGTGATTTACTAGACTAAACGAAAATAAGTTACTCGTATATAAGAAACGTTATGAACCGTGTGAGGAATAGCGTAGTTAATTTGTCGTTAAGTGACAAAATTTGAGTAAACAATTAGCTTGGAATTCACTGTTTAGCTAACTTTGCATAATTTAACAACGATAAAAACACGGTGTGTGCAGAATAGCATTATATTTATATATACTATTAACTTGGCTAACACAGACGCTCAATTTACAGTGCGTCTTCCTCGTACTCGCTCCCTGCGCAACTTTCGCAAATTGCAATGTACTGGTCGATAGATCCGCTAGCTCGACTCCATTTGCTGCCTGTCACAAGAGATGCTGCTTGTCATCTGTTGCACTGCGGAATCCTAAATCTGCAGCCTCTTCGCTCATGAAATAACTTGTCAAAAAGCTTAATGCCGCCTGAAAAACAATGTTGTTTGCGATGAGCTGATCACTCATCCAAGGAGTCATACCATCTGTAAAATGACAATGAAACTGAAAAATCAGAGGCCAGGGCCTAAGAAGGATGTAGAGCCAGTGACAAAAAAATATATACACACCGATTTGTGCTCTACTTTCTAACGTGAGGGCACAGTTTTTTCATATATATTACACTTTTGTACTCCATGTGGTTCTCACAATAAGTGGCTAGTATTTTTCTTAACGACGTTATTCTACTGGTCTTTATAATCAAGAAACCATATACTAGTATTGCCTGTTAGATAGGGGCCGACTTTGTCTCCCCCTTCCGCAGCCTCACGACGCGCCATGCCACGGTAACAAGGGACGCATATAACATATCATTTATTCCCCTATACAAGTCTCTAATGTCCTTGTTCTTACTGTTCGCTGCAATCTCATCAATCCTGTCTTTCAGATAATCTCTCTTTTTATTCCTGAAATGCCCACTGGTTTCACGTCTTATATTGTTCAAATTATCCACTTTATTTCGCCTGGATCCCGTAACCACTGCAATTTGGCTTGTTTCCTTTGGTTTAATAATTTTGAGCATCCTTCATCTAACCATGGATTATGTTCCTTTTTCAGTTCATAATAACCTACACTCTCTCTAACAAAAATTTTTATATTTTCTCTAATAGTTTCCCAAGCTCTATTAATATCCACCTCAGTGTCTAAGTTCTCCAAGGCCGTGAACATATTTGAGATTTCAACACGATACTGCTCTTTACCCTCTACCTCATTTAATTTCTTGAGATTGAACCTCTCCATGTGAACTCTGTGTGTTGTTTGTTTGCTCACTGACAGTCTTTCCCTAAACTTTGCCACCACCTGGTAGTGGTCAGTATCACAATCTGCTGCCCTGAATGATCGGATATGAAGTATACTTGAATGTCGTCTCCTATCTATCGAAATATTGTCAATTTGACTGTGCGCCTTTCCATCAGGAGACGTCCAAGTAAATTTATGAATGTTACGTTGTGGGAAAATTGTACTTTTACAATAAGATTTTTGACGTGTTAAAGTTTACTACTCTAACTCCATTATCATTACTAATTTCGTGTAAACTCTCATTCCCAATTGTTGGCTTGAAAATGTCTTCCTTACCTATTTTGACATCGATATCTAACAAAAATTTCATATTGTAAGACGTAAATTAACATATTTAAAGAATTTCATACAATATTTCAATATTTATCAAGACAGAAAATTTAGCAATCAATTAGATAAATATTTCATAATGCGTTTATGTTTAATGAAAAAAAAA